CATTGTTTCTTTGAAAAGATTTGATCCTTTAAAGAACACTTAAGAGTCTGTCCGCGTAAGAAAGGATAATGCAAACTACGGACCTTCTGCGACTGGCGTCATTTTTTTTTTCAGTGAAAGTCGTCCATCATATCCAATCTACATATACAGCAGTATTTTTTATTTAGCCTCATCAAATTTCAGGCCAAATATCGTTAACAGCGGCTAGAAATATCCGTTCAGTTGCAGTTCTAAGCCCTAATGATCCCTAATTGATGCGCCTAAAGCTCGTTGCTGTCTAATGCAACAACAGACAAGCATCTCATCTGATCAAAATGTATCCTACCTTCAACTTAACTTTGATTTCTTGTTATCAACAGATATCTTGCACTGTCTCGGCGAAATTTACCACTTCACCGAGAAACGTTTGGTCAAAATCAAAGGTTATACGAGAACCATTCTTTGTAGGAATTCAGGTAGTATTTTTTTCTTTGCTTATTACGGGACCAGTTCATTTGCTTCCGGTACACTGCTTGATATGTAATCACGCCAGCGAGAGAGATGCTCGGTAGTAAAGCAGGAAGTAGAGACGAATTCTTCTCGAGTGTGAATAAGCAGCAATGAAACATTTTTCAAAGAAAAAGAAAAGAAAAGAAAAGAAAAATAAAAAAAGTCGCTGTTTCTTGGAAAACTGTTTGCCAGTTTTAAAATCAATAATTCGTTGCATAGTTTTAATAGTAGGCGTAAAATTTTGAACCCACGTCCCCTTCGACCGGATCCGTTTCAATTCAATTTAAAAAAAAAAGAATTCTGACTCAAAATGTAAAGCCGGCTAAAGCAGCCCATGGAAAACTCAAAACAACATTACTGCTATCCGTGATGAAAAAATTAAAAACGTGGCCTTGAAACTGTTTTAATTCAACAGCAAGCCCTAGCGTTACAAAAAAAAATGTGAGCAATTGACTTCTTCACGGACCGAAGGCTTAACTATCTATCAGAGAGCTCGCAAACGAGCATCCCTTGAACATACATTAGTACAGCTGATAAGTCTCAGGTTACGCAACAGTCGAAATATAAGAATTTGTATGGGAAATACGGATATATTCTTGAGCCTAAATGCGAAAATATATGAATGAAAATGAACCTACTTCGCTTCTGAGTGTGTGTTAAAAAGTTCCCTCTTTCTCGTGGGGTTTCCTATAACCAGGTAAGAGTTATATAGAGGACAAAGCAGTGAGGCAGAAAACCACCCTAATGGCCATAAATTGGCCCAAAAACCTCACGAGAAACAAGGAAACACACAGCGAGGAAGGGTTATTTTTATTCATACTCTTTCATACTTTTTAGGCTTAAGAATATATCCGTATTTCCCATACAAATCCTTAAATTTAGACCGCTGCGTACTATGTGTACTTAAGTAAGTACAAGACCTTACAAGGGACGCTCATTTGCGAGCTTGGGCCACCTGTGCTTACATCAGTAGAATTCTACTGGTATACTGACGCAAATGCTGCAATCTGATTGGCTGAGCTTACCATGCAATTTGTTTCATTTCTAGTTTCACATTGCTATAGGTCTGTGGAGCCGATTTACACAGAAAAGGAGCCTTTTAGACCACGATATGTTCTGCACTAACGAGGGACTGCGCAGAAAGAACTTCGGAAATTAAAACAAATTTAGACATATAAAAATTAAATAACAGAAAGCGAGATTCTGAAGACTACCAGAGCTTTGTTAGTGAGGGCTTTTATATCGGTTTTCGGTTTTCGACGAAATTTCTTGCGGTTTTGCGGTTTCGGCGATTTTTTGCGCGGTATTTTGGTTTCTAGTAGGCCCCTACGCCCCCCTCATCAAAATGGCAATTCCCCTGCTGTTTCGAGAAGATTTAGCAAAATTACTAGATAATTCAGTCAATTCCCAAGAACACTAAAGAAGGGAAATTCACCGTGATGAAGTTCAAAACCTAAAAAAGTAAATAAATTAAAACAAGTGAACTGTTGACAA